ACCTGAACCATTCCCTTGGTAAATACATCCAACTGTTTATGGCATAGAACCAAGATGAAGAATGCACCGTCCCTTTATTTTCGCTAAGATGTCGAATCAGAGACCAGAACCAGAATCTAGACCAACGCCTAGTTTAGGATGGCTGTCACTGCAGGGTCTAGCCACGATAGTTCAGCGCCCATTAAAGCCACAAGACCTCAGCCCTAGAGCGGCTGATATTAGCTTGCAATTGAGAAACAATTTATAGTCACGAGTCCCCCTTCCCCGAATCTTGTTCCTGAACTGTTCCCATTGTTTCCCAGGTCCTGATTATCAACCAACGATCAGAAGCATATTAAGATCAAACAAGATGCGTAAATGGACGGTTTTAACGGTATTCGCGACTCGAGTGATAGCGACATGCTTTTACCCCGACGGCAGCAACGCAGCAAAAGACTATAAATACGAACCGTGCGGGAACTCGACTACGACGTACTCAACGTGCTGTTACTTTGGTGAAGGCGACAAATGTCTCGCAAACGGTCTGTGCAATCAACCTGGAAAGTGGGATTATCGCGCCGCTTGCCAGAACAAAGACTGGTCCAATTGCCCAGAGGTCTGCATGGACAGTGAGTAGCTCTGCGGTACACAAAAATGGATTGCGTGGCTGACGTCGAGAAGCGGACTCTGGTACCTGGTTCGCCTTGACAACATGCGGGAAGAACAAGTACTGCTGTCCTCCAGCAGATGGAAGCGACTGCTGCGACAGCGGCGCCGTGATTTACACGCTTAAAGCTCCGAGCCTGACTTCCAGCAAAACAAAGACAGCCGGTGCGACGAGTACACTTCAGAGCGTCGTTCGAACAACAATTGTACAAACAGCGACCCCAACAAGCGATCCCAGGGACAGCACCGTTAAGTCGTCCTCGACGCCTGCTATTGTGGGCGGGACTGTTGGTGGTGTTTCCTTTATTGGGTTTCTGTTTCTTGGAGTCTTTTGCGTTTACAAACGTCGAGATCGTCCGGCCATACCGCATTCTGCTGTAGCAGCTCTGAGTGAAAAGAAAGACGACGCGTCGAGCGGGAAGGATAATGCAGCCGTGCAGATCACTCAGACAGGCCCTGCTGAAGCCGAGGGGACAGAGGGCAACAGGTACACTGAAGTTGATTCTCGAGCTGTCAATATCACGCCCCCTCAACTTGCATACCCAGAGGACGATGGAATGCCCCAACCTATGGATGTCACTCTTCCTCAACAGCCATATCCTGAGAACGACAGCATGCCCAGACCGGACCGTCAACATGCTTTGAGGAGAGGGGTTGTGGGAAACTACTCTACGGAAGCTGACTCAAATCAGATTTTGCATGCTGATTCGAATCCTATTCTACATGCCGATTCAAATCCGATTTTACAAGCTGACTCGAATCCCATCTTACAAGCTGATTCAAATCCGATTCTGCAGGCGGACTCAAATCCCATTCATGAGGCACCCAACGATAACGGAGTAAGGCTCAGAGATACAGCCCCTGCTAGAGCCCCAGCACATGAGCTTCAGTAGTAGGTAGCTAGATAATGAAATGTATTTCAAGGCTGCCTTTCAAATATTGCCTTATCGCGTGATGATATCCCCAAGCACTGGAAGCAAGTCTTCACGAGACGCAGGTCTGGTCCCACATGGTTTGAAGCTTCTCCGGCTTACACCCTTGTAAGAGCTAGGGTGACAGGTTCTGATGCAGGTAGAGGAACGATCCACCCACCTCGTCCCTCAGTAGCACCCTTTGCCTTTACCGTCCACTTCTCTGCACCTGTTGATTCAACCCAAATCGCAACTTTAGACGCCTGAGGAGCGCCCTTCAGTTGTGACAGAGTGACTTGTACCGCATTCTGTGCAGTATCAAATGCGAACTCCTGAATAGACCCTACATCAACAGTGACCAAAAGTTTCAAAGGACCGATGAAAATCCTCTTCCTAACAGCATCCCTGGGCTTGACCGTATACTTGTCCCCCTCCTTAGAGAAATTTCCTCCAAAAGCGACAACGCCAAGTTCCTCGTCATCAGCAACATAAGTCCCTGAGTTCAGCACGGTGCCAATGAACCCGCCTCCGTAATCACCAGTGATCCCATCCCACTTGAGTGTATCGGGGTAAGAATGGAACGCGGCGCTGGGGAAACCGTCTTGGTTGATGTTGGTGAGAGGCGCGTATGAACCGGCGTACCCAACGCGGAGAAGGTAAGAGTCTGATGGATTATCGCGGAATGCAGAAAGTAAGACCTGGGAGTTCAGGCCAGAGCCATAGTGGTGGATCTGACGCTCGATTCTTTTGAGCTTGCCTCCGTAGCTGCTCACAATCAGCATGTGAGTGGAAAAGTATGGGTTTGATAACTTACATAAAATCCCAGTATCTGCGAGCGTTACCATTCCATCCCCAGTGCGGTACGTTGGGCATATAGCCCAACACACTATCAATCGTCTTCTGAACCGAATCGTTGAACCCAAAGTGTCTAAGCCATTAGCATTGCACACTAAACTCTCAGATAAGACTCACCTAGTCCAGTAGTAGACACCTTCTTGCCCAGTCGAGTCCCAGGCCATTTCGCTTCCATATGGAATATCCTGCGAATGCCATAGCTCAGCACGTTTCTTCATTGCGCTTTCCAAAGCATCAGCGGCGGTGTCATTTCCCTCTCGTTCCAGATCGGTGAGAACCTCTCCAAACACAGTCTCTCCCATCAGGCCGACATCACTGTATGCCACATCCTTCTGCGTCATTCGAATGATTGTTTTCTGAGCTTGGCTCAAGTACCACGTCCAAGGCTTGGAAACAAGTTCTGGGTATGCTCGTGCGACGCGATACATGGACCAGTACGCTACCGTGACGTGGACATAGTTATACGCTCTGTCAAGGCTGGATGCAGCCTTCTTATCCCAGGATGTCCAGGAACTCCAGTCGATGTCTTTGCTGTACGGGTAGTCCACCTCAGATGGCCCATAGAAAAAGAGCGACTTGCGTACGCCGTAATCTTCACCTTGCAGTCTGCCCCATACTGTAGTTTGCACAAACTCGTCGAGCTTGGCAATCTCCTCGGCGTTCGGCTGGACGACTTGCTTAAGAACCGCCGCGACATAGGCGCCTGTACCGCCTTCGTCACTGAGCCCTGCGATCCAAACTCTAGGGTCCTGCTCAACAATGGCGCCTTTCTCGTAGTCGTAGGTCATGACGGAGGGAGATCGCTTGAAGGGATCTGAGGTGTTGTTGAACCAAGCTTTAGTGGTGAGGAACTTTCCGAGGTCATTCAGGGTCTCTGTTGTGGTTTTGGTCACATAATAGTGAATGGTCTGTACCTTGTCGTCTTCGTATTTGACATTGACTCGAACGCGGCCCCATGCAGAGGAAGAGGGTGTCAGAGTATACACCCCCTTGTGTTGTTCCTTGATTCCAAAAGATCCTTTTGGCGAAACTGTGATTGAGGCCACTTTGCTGTCACTCTTGAGGGTGAGTTGCGCTGGGAGGTCGCGTGGAATGGTGTACCCTGGAACGCCCACAGCAACAGGGTTCCCAGTCTTACGGACGGCCTTGTCAAAGTCGCGAACAGAATCAGACAGAGAGAACCGAACCCCAACTTTGACCGATTCACCAGGCTTCAAGATCTTAGATGTTGGTTCATTCCAAGGTTTCTGGCTTTTCCATTCCTTGTCCGCCCAGGCTTTGCTCAGCACCTGCCATTCGTAGAACCCCTCAAATGTCTGACTTGCATAGCCAGTTGACTCAAAGTAGGGTTCATCCAAGTTTCGGTATGCTTCAAGTGGCGACTTGGTGCCGTCGAGTGGCGTAACAACGAGCCCTTTGCCGGTGCCTTTGACAGGCGTGACTCGGATCTGGCCTGCATCTTGACCAATATAAGGGTCTGAGAGAGAGCAATGGGCTTGCATCTCCTCGGCAGTCCGGCCGGTGAAGATACTGTTGAACTCGGCAGGGAACCCAAGACTGCCCAGTTCAAGCGAGTCCTCTCCGCTGTTGGTCAACGTAAAACGAAGGCCTAGATCTCCTTTGACGTCAAGCCATTCGCGTGTGATGTTCAGAGGGCTTTTTTGAAGTGTCGGCGAAAGATTAGAAGCTGTAAGAGACTGCTCAACGGAAACCTTTTTCACAGGCTGGCGCTTTTGCGCAGAATCACCACTGATCCACGTATCACCTCCCTCTTTGCGATAGCAGTAGGTGATATCTCCCCAGTGGTATTGCCCATTTTGCGCACGAACTTCGATGCGATCGAACGGCAAAAAGTCAAAAGCGCCGTCGACCGAGGTCAAGGATGCAAGTACCTGCGCGTCACGAACGATGCGAGCCTTGAAGTGATCGGTTTTGATGTCGATATAGCCGTTGTTCAGACCCAAGTTGTCTTTCTGCGCCTGAGTGAACGGTGCTAGCAGGGCAAGGATCCCGCATAGCTGGTTTAAGCAACGCATGACGACTTGTAGGTCTGGCCACCAATCTTGATCATTCCTCAGTCTTGTCTTGAAGGACCACCATCATTTATGTATCCTGTCTGAGTGTCTACAAAAGTCCCTATTCAATGAATGCTACAATACGAAAGGTAAATGTGATCACGCTCTTACTTTTCAATTACAAAGGTAGCAGCTTCCAGGGTTGATCACTTGGATATATGGTTGTGATTGGCACGCCTGTATGCAACTTGGCTCGAACTTCGTATTGGGCAACCTCGGGGTGATCTCCCGATTTCATGATTATCTAGACCTTCCTCATTGAGCGAAGGAAACGACAAATAATTGGTGTTAAATTTCTACCCGCCAATCCCCAGCTTTTGTTACCCAAGTCCGTTCTTTGAGAGCAATGCGGTCATGGTGTATTTCTTGGCTCGCCTACAGAGTTCCATCAGGCACATGCATGGCTGGTATGAGAAGTATCATTAAACAGGGAAGGATAGTAAAAAGGAAGATATATAAATGGTGATTTATTGTAGACGATGGAAAAAGAAAAGGCGAAATTGCAAAAAGAACATGCGGTTTATGTGGATCGAACACATGACCTTCAGATGTCGAGTGATATTGATCGAAGTTTGACTTCAGTCTGACGCTCTCCCAACTGAGCTAAACCCGCTTGTTGAATTCTCAAGCAATAATATGCAATATGAAGGCGCAGCACCAAAATCCCGACTGTGTTCAGACCAAAATGCTACGTTCAAACACCACTGTTAGGTTTACCTCCAATCAAACAGGCGTCATACCAGTATTGAATATTCATTGCTCAAATTTCCCATCTGAGGTGTTGCCGCAGCCTGCGTGATGAGTTCAAGCTACATTCCAAAGACATTTTATCGGATGCTCCTCGAGGGCTGGATGATTTCAGTAGATCAATTATGAGGATATAATATCTATGAATTGTCTATCTCGTGTGCTTCATTATCTAGTAACAGAATTTATTCTACTCAGTAACGCCCGTCGCCTTCACAAGTTGAATGGAATGCTCTTCTCTCTCCCCTCACCATGCCTTTTCTCGATCTCTTCCAAGCTATAACCTTTTGTTTCTCCCATGAACAACACAACCATCACTGTCGTAGCCAAACTACACCCAGCAAAAAGATAGTACGCGCCAAACGAAGACTTATCAAGAAGTACCGGCGTCACAAGCGCCACGATATAGTTCGCAGTCTAAAACAATGGTCAGTACGTGATGAACAGGTGCTTGTCTTGTAATGTAACATACCCAGTTTGAACTTTGCGCAAGGCTAGAGGCACTGCTCCTCGTCCTTCGCGGCATGCTCTCTACCACCCACGTTCGGAAGCCGATAGCCCAAGTGAAGCTGAACGCAATGGCGAAAAGGTAGATGCAGACAATGACAACCCATCTACCCGCACCGTGCTCCGGGTGGACCTGTCCAGCTGCATATAGTGATCCCATGATTACCATCAGGCCCACGATCAAAACGCCGCCTAGGATGCTCTGCATGCGTCTTCCCCATCGATCCGCAAAGATGGTAGCAGGAAGTGTTGCGGCGAGAATCACAACAGCAGATACTCCAGATGCCAAGAACGAAGCCTTTTCGCCGCTGAGACCTGCTTGAGTGAAGAGTATTGGGGCGTAGTACAAAACTCCATCAATGCCGCTGAACTGCTGCATCCCCATGAGAAAGCAAGCAAAGGCAGTCCGGCCACGGTATGGCGCGGAGAATGCACATCTGAAATCCTTGAAAGTATGCTGCAGATCCTGCCAGAGCGACGTCTCACCATCCAGTGTGCCAGATGTGTCATAGATTTGAGAAAAAAGCTCTTTTTCTTCGATTTCGTCAATTCCAAGCTTTCTGCACACTGATCTAGCTTCGTCCGTTCGTCCTTTCGAGAGAAGCCAGCGTGGAGAAGGAGGCACAATAAATACCACCATGGACAGAGAAACTCCAAGAAAGGCCACAATCGCCAGGGGCAAACGCCAGGTGATAGACGAGTCGCCCAGTCTTGATGTTCCGTAGCAAGTAAAGTAGCCTGTTACGAGACCGGTTGTGATGAGAAACTGCGGAAGTGCTGTCATGATGCCTCTCACGCGGGATGGAGACATTTCTGATACTTGGACGTAGACATTGCTCAGGAAGAGACCCTCGCCTATTCCTTTGATCAATCTGCCAAATATAAAAACGCCGAGATATGGTGCACCGCATTCAATAGCAGCTCCAATGCCAAAGATGACAGATCCAATGGCGATAAGTCGAACATGTCCAAAGCGATGAGCTAAGGCACCCGCAACAAGTGCTGTCAACGCGCCAGGGATAAGAATAGTTGAGACGATGACTCCATGTATAGTAGCCGAGAAATCGCCAAATTTATCTTTGAAGGAAGCCATGGTAGTAATGGGACCGATACTTCCTGTGTCCATCCTACCCACGACGATTAGACGGATCCCATAGTTATTCATGATTTATGAACATACCCAAAAAGGAACGCAACACAAGATGTCGCAACACCAGCGACAGCGTACAACGGCACTTTCATCGTCAAAATTTGTATGATGAATCTTGTAAATTGCGTCTCTAAAAGTGCTACTTCTTGATTTTTAACCTTATCTTTAAGCTCTTGCGCAATCTTTTCCAGTCGGTGTGATTAGAATTTTAATGTGGAAACATGCGCTTCGGCTTTCCTCTTTGAAGCTACGATGGAGACCCTGGGGCAAAAGGTGGTTTCCACACCTCCATTGATTATGCACCAGGGCTATAGATAAAGGGTTTTTGCGATATCTTTTTCGGCTTGTATGCTGTCGGCTTGAATACCGTATTGAGATACTTACAACATCGGCAGACTTGCCGCTCAAAGAGGATTCAAACATGGCAAACTTAGTTTGTCAAAATTACAAGTCTATCTTTAAGCTTGATGCATCTGTATACGGAAGACTTGCTCTTGACTTTATTACACCCTTGAGGACTACTAAAATGCACCCTTCGATTGGCCATTGTCACCAGATCACGTTTGTCTTCTAGTGGTCCAAGAAAGCTTGGAGCAAAACATACTCCACATCGTGTTGAGGGCTCAGGTATCCCACCGACTTGATGAGTCGTCAGTCCCTCATGAGATTTTCTTTTCGGCGATTTTAGTATCGTTCGACTTGTTTCTAGATTGTACTCTATGGCAACCAATCCATGACTGCCCAAGAACCAGATATCAGCCTCAGATGTCTTGGTGAACTGACATACCCTATAGACGAACGCACATCAAATTTGACTCCCGCGGTAAGCCCTTTGTACAAGCTCACCTTGGACTTAATATGCTGCCCTCCTTGCTTTGAAGATAGCTTTTTGAGGAAACATGCCTTCTCTAGAATATTTGACCTCGGGGAACCAACTGGACTCACAATTTCTTCAACCTTCAGCACTAGAAAAGGATATAAATAAACGACAACCTTGGGACAAACTTTGGCGACACCACCGACCACTGACACGCACTAGTACCTAAAGCTGGAAATCCACAGCTCAGCTTGACAAAAGTCGTCTCCCCCTGAAACAATGCAGCAGAAACTCACGATAACTTCAATAGCGCGTCCAAAAGAATTGAAACAAATCGATAGCGTGAAGGGGGATCAGGGCTAGCTGGTAAACATGACAGTGATTGGCCTTTGGACGCGCTATGTTTTGGAATGCGTTGTTAAGCAGGGATGCACAGGCGCTAGCCCAGGGGGTTGTTATTTGAGCTCCAGCGCGTTTTGAAGGGTCCAGTATCTGCAGATCGACAGTCTTCTGGCCTTGTCTGTTTGCCTGTATATGCAAGTTAAGCCGAGAAGTCAAGGCGAGAATAACATGGATGCTTTGTGCTCGATGTGAAGCAAAGATGGAGGAAGTGTACGATGGCACGTCAGCGATCACATATCATCAAGAGGGAGTTTTGAAGCCCCCAATTAAAATATTTTGACGTGGCGTCTTTAGCTTCACCGGACAAACCCCCTCTTTTCTTGCAGCTTCAAGTCAAGACCCGAGTACAAAAAAGGGCTAAAGCAGCAATATCTCTTTATCGGGGGCTCTTTCAGTTCTCCTATCCTGATAAGGCTGGGAGTCAGAATGTTGATGGTGGACATTTGAAGCGTGCGCCATTGCGTGCTGTCAGACGCTGGCGAATTTGGGCTCAAACCAGTGGCGCCGGACCGTTAGGCGTTGTGCTGTTTAAGCTATGGTAGTTTCGGGGTGAAGAAGGAATTGAGTTACAGCCTCGAGATTTTGAAGAGTGTCTGGAAAGTTAGTTTTTGGCTGCGATGAGTGCTATCGCGACAGGTGAGTCTGTACTGCGATGACGCTGACGTGAGACGTCAGAAGTTAATATTGGTTACACAGTTACACAGTTACACAAGTACAGGTCAGTAAATAGCCAAGACAAGCATAATATTAGATGGCGCAAGAGTTTGAAGAGAAGCTTCTCGCGATGCCAGTCTAGAAACATGTTGGAAGATGATAAGATCTGGGAGGAAATTGCTTGGCGGGAAGGGATCCATTAAAGGGATCAACACCAGAAGGGGTCGGCACCAGCTTCAGAGTTCCGAGCCCAGAAGCCCCCCGCATCTCGTCCAACCTCAGTACCAGTGTCATCCAGAAATAGATGCCTCTATAAATATCTTGTTCACTGTAAAGTGAACGCAACTGCCGTCTGGACGCCTGCTCTGAACTCAACAGTTGACGCCTTAGAAACATAAGGAAAACAAGGTTATCTCAACTACCGTGGCCTACCGTGGCCTCATGGGCCATCCCCTTTCTCATGAAGCACCCGTCACAGATTAATTGGGGTGGATCAACGAGGCGTCAGAGTGTACTCTGTACCCAGCCCACAGCCAACCGCTGGCGTCCCTTCTGCTTACATGCATGTTTGAGTTGAAGCGCTACTGAGACAAGAACAAGATTCCGATTCCCCATCGTAAGAAAAAAAGTTTAGTGGACGCGTATCCTGATGCTTCGTCTTAGGGAGAGGACCCCCCAAAAACAACCCCCTGGTTAAAAAGAGAGTCAGGGGTCCCCTTCTTCGCCCCCCTCTCTCACTTCAAGCTGAGCTGAGCTGGTTTTATCGTTTTGTTCTTTCTTTTCTTGTTTCTCCCCCATTCGTTTCTTACACTCTTTATCATCTTTGTCGAATTTTGCTACAGTTTTTGCAGTAATTATTCGTCGCCCGCAAAAATGACCGTGCCACGGTCCAACAGAGCGGTGGTTCTGGCCGCCGTTGTCTTCATCACCATTTTTCTCGGCTTGGCGCATTTCCATCTAAAGTCTCCCATTGAGACGTCAACAACCGTCAAGAGCGGAGTGTAAGCAAGCACCTTTCCCTCCAAACCCCTCTTCCGCACGCCCCGAACTCAATTCTGATCTTTTTTCTTGCAGCGACGAACCCGCTCCCGCCATTCCCGAGAAAGAAGTCGCCGCTACAATCGCGACTTACGTCCCCGGCGAGGATGAAGAAGTCGCTGCGACACCCGTCGTCCCGGTCGTGACAAAAACCCCGGAGCCTGAGAAGCACCATGCCGTCACCCCCGACACGCCCGAGGTCGACCCTGCCGAGGCCCCCAGTGATCCTGAAGAGATCGCCGAGGCTGAGGAGCAGGCTATGAAGGAGGCTGAGAAGAAGGCCAAGGAGGAGACCAAG